CCATACAGGAACTCAAAAATCGGATGTGAACGGTCACAACCCAGAGCTTTCCTTTCTTGTCACTTTGGGGACATGGCTTGCCGTTCTCCACCTTGACATGATGATTCAGCCAATCAGACGTAGCGATCCATCCTGTCCCTTCATGACAGCGTATCTCTTGGCTTCACGAAGCTCTTCAACAGCTGCTTTACCCTTCAATGTCTTCGCCTTCTTCCCCTTTGGGTCAGCCTCCTTTTGGATCGCTAGCTCCTTCTTCGCTCTGATTTTTTAAAAAATCCAGGAGCCAGGATTTAAGTTTTGCTGATTGAGTGAAATAATGTTTTTTGCTTGCTGTGTATGCTGCTCACGCGTCCTCAGCTGCCGACAAGGGGGTCGTGTGACTTACACATGCTTCATGGACAAAACTGAGGGACGAAACGAAGGGGAACGGAGAAAGTATGCGTTGCCTAAAGCTTTACCTGCCACTGTTTTGTTTGTGTTGTGTTCTGTTCAGCGGACCAGTGGTCAGCTAAAGATGTTTTTGTACATAGCTGTAACTAAATATACAGGTGATGTATCCAACAGCTGCGTTACTTTTTTTGTGCGTCGTACAGTATACAGGGGCGCAGGTTGCAGTCGACGCGCTTGTTGATGTCTTAGCGGCGGTTGTTCCTTGCTAATTGAAATGTTTTCCCCAAAGGTATTCTACTTTGTTGGTCTGGCAGCTTTCCCAGACTTAACATGGAACCATATCAAGATGGTGCTCGGACAACCGTGGGCTTCCAAAGCCGGGAGGGACACAAACACATACTACAGTACAGGGAAGGAAAAAAAAGGAGCGCAAAGGTTCATCTTGAGATGAATCATTGAAGCCGGGAGATGTTACAGCTAGAGGTCTATGTTAGACTATGGCTGGGCTGGGCAGTGAACATGTGCCATGTTATAGGATTGAAAAGCGGGGGAATCCTGGGCAATGTTGGAGGCTGTTGGGTCTAATATGGAACATTGGAAGAGCAGACATCTAGCCCTATGTTGGCCGGCCATCAGACAGAATCCATGTTAGCATTTGCTGCTGCGGCGCAAGAACTATCCATCCTTGGTTGGGAATACTACGGGTGCGTTCTATGTGTGTGTGTGTGTTTTTCTTGACACCCAAACCACATACTCTCCAGAGACCGGTGCCTTTTTGATTCCAGGGTCACCGTTTAAAGTGTGTCATGTTTATTGGCACTTGGATTGAGATCCTTAATCTACGGTAGATTTCGCGGGAGTATATGTAGCCTCAAGCCTCTTTGGTTCCTGACAGCTTCATGTGTATTATACATGTGCGTCTGTGTAGCTGGTGGCGGCCCATTGGGCATTGTCTCAAGTTTAAAATCAAAGTGCAAAAAAACAAAAATTCAATCAGTTTTGTTGTACATCAAGAAATTTGAAATTTGATATATCTCCAAAATGTTAAGTTCCCTAAGTTAGTTAAAAGTTATTTTTGCATAATGTTGAATCATCTAGATAGTGAACTTAGAAATCTCTAACTTTTGACAACTAATTTGCAAGTGCCACATCTTGAACATAAAAGTTTGGGTTCGTTACAGAACTTCTAACCCCTTCCTAACTAAGTTGCCAACCACTTACAAGATACTTACAAGTTCCCTAGCCAAAAAGGAACCATCAAGTACTCGGGTCTTGTATGGTCACTTAAGCTCTGTAGGCAGCGCGCAACGAGCGCGCAAGGAGCGCGCGCACCAGCGCGCAATCAGCGCGCAGGAGAGCGCGCAAGCACGAGCGCGCAAAGAGCTAGCGCGCTTGAGCGCGCAGGCACCACCAGCAGAGGTTGAAGAACCCTATAGCCTATCCTATAGATATTCTTGTTGGGTCTTATATGGTCACTTAAGCTCTGTAAGCAGCGCACAAGGAGCGCGCACCAGCGCGCAACCAGCGCGCAGGAGGCGTGCAGACACGAGCGCGCAGGACCAGGAGAGCGCGCAGGCACCAGCGCGCAACGAGCGGGGACGCGAGCGCGTGCCAGCGCGCAACGAGCGCGCGCCAGCGCGCAAAGAAAGCTGGTCGATGCGCACGAGCGCGCGCAGAGCGTGCAGGAGAGCGGGGCATGCAGAGCGCGCGGACACCAGTGCGCAAAGTGCGCGCTGGGCACGCAGGACAGGAGAGCGTGCGTGAGAGCGCGAATTGGGCATGAAGCTCTTTGTTATAAGAAGGAAAACAAGGACAATCTAGCAGTAGGCTTCTAATTCCCTGAAAGTTTGCCATTGTTAGACAGTCTAAAAAGCTTCTCGTTAGTAGAACAAAAACAAGACAGTCTATCAGTAAGCTTCTGTTACTAGAAAGCTTCTAAGGCCAGTCCAAGATCAAAGGTCTTGCCGCTTGGGTGTTGTCTTTCACTTGTAGAATAGCCTCGCGTAGCACTTGCAAGCACTTTTTCTTTTCAACATCAAGAGCACATAATTGTCTTCTTGTTCCGTTTGTTGGCTGATTTGTTCCTTGGACTTTTGGACCATGGCCAAATTGTTCAGGCGCCCTCAGATGCAGACATCGAGAAGTGGTCTCGCCCTCCATGGGCGCTAGAACAGCATAATGAATGCCTTATTGCTCAAGGCAACGATGTAAGTGAATCGCGTGTTGAACAAACAGCTGTGTTTGCCAAGACTGAGCTATAAAGAAGGCCAACGGAATGTATTCGAGATGTTGCCAGGAACCCCGCCTGGTCACAGCACATCTCAAAACAGCTGCATCTATTTCGCCTGGGGCTGTGATTCAAATACTCGGCAGCATGCAGGCTTACAGGGCACCGTTGTGGAATTGGGAAACAGAAACTGTGAAAGCGTGTGGTGTTTTGAAGCAAAAGTCCTCCTTTGTAGAATGTCTAGGTCCACAAACAACAGACCGTCAAGCATCCATGGCAAGTTGCATATTTCTGGATGTTTGCGAGGAATTGGAAAGCTTTTGCTTCTTGTGAAGGTTTCGGCAGAGATGCACTCATTCAATCGAGGTGAATGCCTTCCACGCCAGTGCTGTATTGTCATCCAGCTGAAAGTTCACCTTGTTTGGGACATTGTCTTGTTCTGCAAATGCGTTTCCGACCCCAAGTAGATTCCACTTGAGAGAGCAGTTTTGGTGGCGTGGAGGCCGTTTTTTATTTCAAGGCTACTAGTTAGCTTCAAAAACCGTCTAGAAACTACAGGCGATTCCCAGTCGAACGATTCCCAAGGAAGCTTCTAGTTACGGGTAAGCTTGATCATGCGCGATTCACTCTTGACGCTCCTGCGTTCATTCTTGAGATTTTGTGGGTGTGTCGTGTGTGGGTGTGCACACGGGCGCCCAATCGAAACAACACCACCAACGTCTCGAAGAAAGGAAAAGGAAAGGAAGAATGAACACAAAGAACATACAAAGGCCTAAAGATATGAAGAGAAAAGAGAAGAAAGAGAATTGTAGCTTGTGGAAGGGGGTAGCGACGTCCTCAAGCAAAACGGCCAGCACAGGCACAATTGGGGTCAGCGGTTTCAACCAAGGAAAGCTTCGGGGTCTTCAAGTGCTTGGCGCTGGGCTTTGCAAGTCCTTCAAGAACTGCCAGCGCTCGCAGTGGTTCCAAACGACGCTTGGGTATAAATCCAGAGTTGCGAATCACGAAGTGAATTTTCGCTGCCGCCTGAGCAGTCCACAAGAAAACCAATAGAACAAAGTGGGGATACTTGCTGCGCAAGCGCAAGAACCTTAGACTCTGTCAGTACTTTTGCTTCTTGACACTCCTGCAGTCTTTTGTTTTTTCTTTTGACCTCTAGGCCTTTTGTTTGGTCTTTTGTATTTTCTGCTTTTGTAAGTGTCGAACATTTTTTTGCTTCTTCGCGCAGATGAGTCGTCACGATGTGTTTTCCCCAAACAGTTTACTGTTGCTGGGGGACTGTCTTTGAAACTTTGCATACTCTTTGAAGTCATAGCTGCGCTGGCCACGACAGATGTGGGCTGCGGCCACGCCGTGGGCCCTGTCGTCTTCTCCGCTCGTCAGGCCTTGTCCCCTCTTTCTCCACCACCTTGTCCGGGCCTTTTTTCCTGTGGCTATGAATGCTGCAGTGATGCAGGTTTTGAAATTTGATATCATCTTCGCATTTTCTAATGAAATATCATTCCATTTTTGCACATGAAAGCATCACCAAAATAGGTTTTTGTTTACTTGCTGTTCTCAAACAGCCGGAGGCTCTAGGAACATAATCACGAGAAGCTTTCTAGACTTTATTAGAAGCTTACTAGACCAGAAGCTTACTAGACTGTCTTTGTTTGCTTTCTAATGACAAGAAGCGTCCTAGACTGCCTGAAAAGCTTACTAGTAACGATTACTAGTAACTAGAAGCTTAGTAGTCTTTCGATTAACAAAAACCTTTCTAGATTTAGAGGCTTTCTATCAACTAGAACCTCTTTAGACTGTCCTTACTTGTTTCTGAAAACAAGAAGCTTTCTAGATTGTCTGAGAAGCTGACTAGCAACTAGAAGCTTACTAGACTGGCTTTGTTTTCTTTCTACTAACAAGCAGCTTTCCAGACTGTCTTAAAAGCTTACCAGTAACTAGAAGCCTACTAGACTGTCTTGGTTGCCTAATAGCAAAGAGCTTTCCAGATTGTCTTAGAAGCTTACTATAGTATCTAGAAGCCTACTAGACTGTGTTTGTTTTCCTTCTAATAAGAACAAGTTTCCTAGACTTGCCAAACTCCGCTAGACCAAGCTGTAAAGTTTCTTCAAGTCTCGATTTTTCGTTAGTTGTGATTTTGCTTGATTTGCAGAAAACTGCCATGACGATCGCCGGTCCCTCAGCGACCTCCAAACCCTTGGGCCCTTGAGACCCAACAGCTCAGCCGGGGAACGGCAAGATTACTTCAGGTACTACAAAACCCTTCAAACTGTGAGTTAAGTCCGCCCCTGTACCACCACCACCACCACCACCACCACCACCACCGTCCCTAACACATACGTCCGAGGACGATCCGACCGACGGAGACCGTGGGCACCCCGGCGATGATGGCCACAACAAAGCTTGGACTTCGGTGGTTCCTGGAGTTTCCAGCACTGACTGGTCAGGACCCAGGTCATGGCGAGGTGCGAACTCGGTCCCTGGTCCAGGGTACGGATGCCTTGGGAAACTGATCAAGACACATGCACCTTCTGTCTTGCTGGCATGTCCCCTTGAATGATGCTGAATTCTGTGTGATGTGCTGCAAACCTTACCTGACATAACAAACCTTAAATGCCAAAACATGTGGGTCTGCTCCTTGATCGCACTCACAACATAATACCTCATCATACCTCATCATACCTCGCAAATGAGACTGAACACAAACAAGTAACAAAACACATGAAATGTCTCTTTGAATCTCATGTATATAAATGATACAGTATATAGTCAGAATATAGTCAGCCGAGTCATAATGCTTACATAGATATTATTATTATCATAATACATCCTAATACATCCGTACACGGCGGACACGAATGAAAGATCACCTGGCGAACACGACCCAACTGCCTCACACCATCTCAAGTCTCCGACACCTCATGATGCACTTCTCACTTCTTTCGCAAGACCACCTCAGCTAACTCCTCGGCAGTTTCCCGGGTCCCACATGGCCCAGAACGGCTTGAGGTTCGCTGCCCCCGCTGAGGTTCGCACAAGAACCCCAAGTCCCAAAGTGCCAAGGCCCGCAGCCTCGGGCAAGCAATCAGAGTTGGCTGAATCGGCCCGCAGCCTCTCCAGTGGAGTTTTGTAGAGGATGGACATCTTAGGAGAAAAATTACGTTCTCCTCGTTATACAAAGCACTGCAGGACGGGGACCGGTGCTTGTCAAATGCAGTTCACAATAATCACAACTTCAGAGCTGCTACTCACACGAAGGACTCCGATCAGTTGTTCAATCATGTTCAAACACCCAAGTCTGCATTGAGAGGCAGCTTGGTGGGCAGCTTGACTTGTGCTCAGGAAGCCACAATGCTCCAGGTGGAAGTAGGCAAGTGAAATCCTCAGAATCCAGAATCAAAGGCGGTTCAATAGCATGATGATGCATGGTGTCTGCTACTTGCAACAAACGATTTCACAGATTTGGCGCAAGAGTGGCCCAGAATACTCTTCCTGCTGTCAACAAACATGAGGGCCAGTCTGTTTATATTTGCGCCTGGGGAGTGCATAACAATATATATATATCACTATTATTACTATTATCAGTACTATTGTTAAACTGTTATTACTATTTTATTTATATTTATATATTGCATATACTTGTTCAGAAAGGTGCGTCATATGTTTGGAATCGGCACAACTGGAGAAGGAAGGCCGGCGCCAGTCGAGAGGAACGACCGTCCCAGTGTGAGGCCACCAAAACTCACCACGCACGACCCAACTCACCGAACAGAAACGATCATTGATTGTACATGTCCCAAACTCCAAGCAACTAGTTTTATCAAATTGACGGAAACAACAAAACCATGAGACACTCCAAAAAGAAACTCTCTTTCGGGCGTCATGTCACCATGCGTCACCATGCGTCACCACCCACACAAATACCCCACCGGATCCTCACGGACCGCACATGATCCTGCTTCAAGGCCTGCCACACCGGCCACCGCACGGCGTCGCGTCCGGTTTTTCGCACCAAGAGGCCCGTGTGACCCATGGACCCCAAAGGGCTCTCCTGATCGACGTCGGTCGATGGGAATCCACGGTGGCACCGGTGGGTGGAACACGACGTTGGAACACGGTGATCACCGTCATTGGGATGATTTCTTTCGATAAACACACACGCATCCTATAATTTTGTTTTGTTTTCCACAGGAACGTCCAGGCCGGGATGGAATGGGATGTAGGATGATGGAATGGGACGGAAAGGGATGGATTCCTAGGCCGTGGGATGCCGTGGGATCCAACTTCCTTCTGGCTGCGGTGGCGGTGCGGTGGGTCCGGAGGGCCATGGTGTCGCACCCGACTCGGCAGGTCACCACTCGTGACACTCTGGTTTTCTCCAACCAAGCCATCAAGACGGAGAACTGTGGCGGTCCGGGTGCGGTAGTAGTTGACAATGAGATTGACAAACAATGCCCCGTCTGACCGATTGAGCTGTTGTGGGCGCATGCCTAGTACTAATTGGCTTATCACTCGAGATAGGTTCCGACACTGCATGGCTGGGATAGCTTGAGGCTGAGGCGAAGCGCGGCTGAAGAAACAATCATGCCCCAAGCCCGCCAAAAGATGCCAAAAGCATCCTATCCGATAATCCCAGCAATTCTGGAGGACGGATTGCCACTTGCCATCTCAAATTAGAAGTCGGGAGCTGTACATAAAGGTTCTCACAGCGGCTGAGGGAGGGAGTTTCTGAATGGCTTGATCCATCGATGATCCGCTTGTCCACAGAACTCACATCCGATCTCCGCTCCTCTGCAGGGCGTAGAAGGCCAAGGACCTCAGTGTTACGTGTTGACCGGCGTTTGGCCTCCCCATGACAAGATCATGACAGGTTAGACATGGCTCTTCTCCTCTCCATCTCCCAAGCAGCACCGCCTCGTTCTTCTGGGCCTCCCGGGCACCACGAGCGGGCTCAGGAGCGCCACGCAGAGTGCAAAGCCGGCGATCTCCGTGGGGCTCCAGCCGTTCAAGGTCCACCTAAGGGTCGGTCCACCGGGATCCCGGTTCACCACGTGATCCGGCTGGTCAGCTCCATCCGGGTCAAGCTACACAGGCACGGGGCGAGCGCGGTTTACGCGGGACGCGCGGGCTGAAACACGGAGAGTCCAAGCCCGATGGACCGGTGCAGTGGGAGAATAAACTAGTCGTGTCGTGTGGAAAAGAACCTGGGAAGAGTTGCATCTTTGGAAAAAGTCTTGGGATCCTGTGTCCAAAATATCTACAAATGAATAGCCACCCTCGTGGCCCATTTATGAAGTCAAACCGTAGCTTTCTGGTCGCCAACAAAAATATGATGAGTACTGCTTGGCAACAGCAGTTCTAACAGTTGCGCAGCAGTCGCATAGCATTGCTTGAAGGCCTCACATGCTCACATGGCCAACGACTTCATCGTCGGAAGTCTGTCTTCATTTGGCAGCAGTTTCGTCAAGTTTGTGGATTATCAATCTGAACCTTCAATGACTCGAAGGTGCTCAACATTTGTATAGTAGACATTTCTTCAGGCAGACTGTTGGATGACCGTCTCGGTAAAACACTAGTATTGCCTTGCTCCTGCCATTCTGAAGTTCTATGCAAAAAAACTGAAAATAAACCCACCATGCAGTGCCAAAAAACAAGCTGGGGTGCCCCGCCAATGCTCGAAGTTCATCGAGGGATAAATGGCCAAGAAGTTCCTCAAACAAATGGGCCATTGTCTCAATTTCCCTATTGAAGGGTCTTCAACATCGCCCAAACGGCTGGTGCACTTGGAAAAGTTGAGCTTCTTGCAAGAGTGAGCTCTGAGTAGAGGCTTCTCTGTAAATGGTAGCTGGTAGCGTTCTAAAAAGGCTGCCGGCTAGACATCCATCTTGCATGTCAACTTTGATTCTTGTTCTGATAGTTGCTGCAAAGATCTGCTTGCTATATGTAGAGCTCTAAGGACGCAACATCATCTCGGACATCATGAGCAGGATGAATGTCTTCTGCGATGGAAGAGCCTATTCACCCGAATCCCGCATCCATTTTTGTGTGACTTGTCCTCCTGAACTCGGCCTATGATCTGCAACAGGGCTATCCGGGACAACAAACATCTCATGTCACGTTCACATCATGGACATGTCGGTCTAACACGGGTCAGCATAGCTGCCAAAAAAAAAAGACCGGTGTCAAAAGCAGGCAGTGACACGACCGGTAGCAATTGAACGAGCTGTGGTCTTTTGAGACTGTTAATACCAAGACTATGCAATGTAATACCTATTAGGGCCGGTCGGGTAACGGCGAATGTATGAAATTCCATACCTGGATGGTCTGGGAAAGAATGATTATCATTTTATCTCTTGGTGCATCTTTTCAAACTGACCAGTTGTCTTAACCACCTTGTCAGAAGATATGATGTTGCCGTTTACTCACAACTGCTTTGCTTCATGACCCACTTCTCTTTGGAATGCCATCAATTCAGAGTAAGTGGACTCACACCGCAACGTTGCGAGTCCGGCGGCAGTGCGCCGAAACGGACGGCAGGGCATCAAGTCCTACTGTAAGTTGCACGCTGTGCAACATGCTGTGCAGTGTGTTTTTCACTTTTCATGAGTCACGACATGTCGTCGCGACCGTCTTTCGATCACGACTTGATCACCCACTCCACCGACAGAGGGTGGGCTCGAACCGCCAAAAGAGGCACGGGTGCGCGCTTCGTTTTGCGCTTGCGTCGCGACTCGTCGCTTCGCCTTGTTTCCCCTTGGTTGTGGACCTCGTGCGCTACAACGACAATTCGACATTGGTAGCGGAGCAACGGGGTGACCTGGGCTCCCTACCCTGCGCTCTCCGCGACGACTTCCCGAACGCTCGGAAGAAGACCTACGTCAAGGACGGTCCAAGGAGCTCTTTCAGGTTGTCTAGTTCTTTGCTTGGCCTTTTTCATCTGCTACTTCAACACCCCAGCATCCAAGCAGGTCCTAGAAGAGTTCTTTGGCACCATGGCCCAACAGAAGAAGACATCGACGCAGGCATCCGGATCGGGAAGCGCCTCAGGTACCAGCTACCTGGATCTCCGGGACTCCTACGTTCCCGTGTTCAGCGGTCAGCCAAGTGACTACCGCGAATGGCGACAGAGGATTCACCTCTATCATCGAAAGATGTCCATCACCAAACGAGGCAATGAGAGCGTCCTCAACATAGTTGGAAGCTTCACTGGACTCACCTGGCGATTGTTTCAGGATTGGGCACTTGAGGACCTCGAGAAGACCGATGCTTTCCCGAAGATCATTGAGGTCCTCGATCGAAACTTTGCTTACGATGCCCGAGTCCAGCTTCCTGCAGATTTTGAGAGCTACTTCAATTTGTTGCAACGTCAAGGAGGCCAGACCTTGCTCATGTTCATCAACGACCACGAAGAGGCCTACCGCAAGTTGCAGCAACATAAAGTGGAGCTCCCAGCCTCTGTTCAAGGATGGCATCTACTCCGTCGCGCCGGGCTATCAAGAGAGCAACGACAGCTCATCACCTTGAAGGCACCTACCATGGAGAAGAATGAGGTGATTGAAGCGCTCTACTTGATCCTCGGACAGGATTACAAGGGCGGAGGATGGAATGTTGAGCGGAACCGCCGCTTTGGAATCCAGTCCCACTCCTGGAAGAACCACCGTGCCTATGTGGCCGACGACTATGACGAGGAGACCTACCAGGACGATGAACAGTGGGAACATGGATTCTATGAGGAGGATGACAGTTGGCTGGAAGAGGGTCACGCCTATGAGGCCTATGATGATGAGGGTCAGGACTTTGACTATGATGCAGGGTACTATGGTGAAGAAGAACCCTGGCCTGACAATGAAGAAGCGAACAGTCCCTCTCAAATGGCTGCCGCCTATGATTCCGCCTTTGCCTCCTACACGGATGCTCGAAGACGATTTCAAGAGCTGAAGACCTCCCGCGGCTATCTGCCCATCGTCGCACTGACGGACAGTGGAGGTGCACCTACATCGACGGCTACCGGATCCGGCTCTCCGTCTTCTTGGAGGACAAAAGGGAAAGGAAAAGGGACTGTGAAAGGTGGCAAATCGAAGTCAGTGAACCGACCTCCACCTGATCCCCGTGGCAGAGCAAAGGCCAACATGAACTGTCTTCGATGTGGACAAGCAGGGCATTGGGCTGCTAACTGCCCCCAGTCATCAAGTCCGACTTCACGAACTCCGGCAGTCAAACGACCAGCTTCTACCACCGAAGCGATGGCCATGTCCACACCACTGGAAGAGCAAGCTTTGTTGATCTTCCAGGACTCCGGCGGTGCTGAACGCCCTGACTGTGTCATGCTCGACCCTGGTGCTAGCGCCTTCTTGGCAGGCTATGGACCATTCCGAAGGTATCTGGATCACCTTCGTGCACTGGAGTTTCCGGTGGACACCATCAAGATGAGCAAAGGCCGGAGACGCTTTCAATTCGGAGGCGATGCTTCTATGTGGTCCGACTGGTCAGCCCACGCCCCGACCTTTGTGGACGGAAAGTATGGCACCATTGAGTTGTTCCTGCTACCGGGCAACACGCCTATGCTCTGTGGAAGGCCTATCATTGAGGCCTTGGGCATGACAATGGACTTCGCTCAAAAGCGCCTTCGCATCGGCAGTTCATCTTGGATGCCCGCAACTCTAGGCCGACAAGGTGAGTATCTATGGTCCCTCACCAACGAGTTCCTCAGTGTGAACTACGACCCTGAACGGCCTGAGTTTGTTCTCCGCACGAATGACCAAGGCATCGAGCAACATGACGGCTACCGTCTTCAGGACTTCATGACTGCCGAGCACGGCTTCACCACCTTCGAGCACCTCGATGAGACCAATGACACCAAGACCCGTCCACTGAGGAAGCAGGAGCTGAAGACAATGGATGTGCACCTCAGCACTCAGCTCAATGACCTCTCGGCCTACATCACCAGGGAACTTCATCAGCCTGAACGACCTCGCATTCTGTGGGAGGTCTACTGTGGAAAAGCCAGAACGGCACAGATGGCCGAGACTATGGGCATGGAGACTCGCTGTTTCTCCTATGAGACTGGCTGGGATTTTGAGCGCCTTGACCATCAAGAAGAGTTTCTCCGTCTTCTTGACGAAGAGAACCCCGACGAGCTTTTGATGGCACCGGAGTGCAAGCTATGGAGCAAGATGCAGTCTCTTGGACGTCGCACTCCAGCTCAGAAGGAAGCTCTTCGTGCAGCTCGCCACCACCACCACGACAGGCATTTGATATTCGTGCGACGTGGCTACCTGGCTCAGGTCTCTGGAGGTCGACATGCGACCATTGAGCAACCGAAGAACGCCCTCTCATGGCAGACCCGAGCTCTTCGTGATCTTCCTGGCCGACGAACAGACTTTTCTCAGTGCAGATATGGAGCTCAATGTCTGGACAACGATGGCATTTGGAAGCCAGTTCAGAAGAACACCTCCCTGTTGACGACCAAGCAGTCTGTGCAGGATGCTCTTCATCTTCAATGTCAGCACGATCATGAGCACTGCCCCTTGGAGGGCTATGCACCTGGATACGGGTCACGTACCAGGTATCTGGAAGAGTACCAGCCTGCATTGGCCGCCACTCTTGCTGCTGCCCTGTCCGTTGATGAGCCGCCGACCTACTGGGAAACTGGCCATGCGGCTGAGGACGAGCGAGAGACCACAAGCTCTCTCATCAAGCTTCGAAGTGAAACCAAGCAGGATGCCATCCGCACTGTGCAGCGACTGCATCGCAACTTGGGACATCCTGCACCCGCCGCCTTGGTTGAGCTTCTTGAGGCAAGAGGTGCATCAGATGCAATCCTCCAAGCCGCGAAGACCTATCGTTGCTTCGCTTGTGCGAAGTACAAGAAGCCTGCTCAGGCCGCACCAGCTGCTGTGCCCAAGAACACTCAGTTCAATGAGGTGCTCCAGGCCGATGTGATGTGGCTACGCCGTGGTTCTCAGAAATATGCTGTGATGAGCATGGTCGATTCAGCAACTCGCTTCACAGCAGCGGTTCTCGTCAACTCGGAGCACACTGAAAACTACATCAAGGCCCTTGAGCGAGCTTGGATTGCACACTATGGTGCGCCCGGTTCACTTCTCACAGATGAAGGTCGTGGATGGCTCAGCACTCAGATGGACGAATGGACGTCGGCTCACAACATCAACCACATCGTGGCTCCCGGCGAGGCCCATGAGCGCTTGGCATTGGTGGAGCGCCGCCATGCAGTCATCCGAAAGTCAGTTGAGGTGTACCTTGATGACATGAAAGTTGATGGCCCCGCTGGCATTCAGGAAGCACTATGCTACATCATCCCTCAGCTCAACAGCGCTCCTGGTGTAGCAGGGTTTTCTCCTGCTCAATGGGTCCTGGGCTACCAGCCCAGTCTGGCTGGTGACCTCCTCTCCGACTCGACTCAGCCAGTGCACTTTGGCGGCAATCAGACCTTTGAGGAAATGTTGACCAAGAGGCATGCTGCTCGCAAGGCACTGAATGATGCTGATGCAGATCGTCGCCTACGACGAGCTCTCAACCTCAAGTACAAGGGCACCAACTCGGAGTATGCCTTGGGTCAACAGGTCTGGTTCTGGAGGGATGCTCGACAGCCCGATCTCGTGAAGATCCGATGGTTGGGACCAGCACAAGTGGTCATGAAAGAGCGCCGCCCAGGCACTGATGAAGCTGAGGGCCCTGTGTCGGTCTACTGGTTAGCGTTCAAGTCACAGCTGATCAGGTGCGCACCACACCATGTTCGGGCAGATGTCAAGAGCTTGAACCATGCCATTGATGACACCCAGCTTGCCTTGAACACTGTGCGCCAGTTGAAGTCTCGAGGAGTCACCCGCTTCTATGACTTGAACAGGGTCAACCGGCAGAACCTGGCTGATGTGGAAGAGGATGAACATGGTCAAGGATCCTCCATCGACTCGGACTCCGAACACGAGATGACACCACCACGGCAACGCCCTCGCCTCATGCTGGACTCACAGCCCACAGTGACTACCAACTCAGCGGAAGCTGCACCACAGACTGAGGCGACAGCACCACCCACAGTGACTACCAACTCAGCAGAAGCTGCATCCAGCCAAGCCGTGGCACCAGCTGCTCAGGGACCAGGCCCTGAGGCAGAGGCACCCATGTCTCCGCCTCCGGTACCAGGTGACACCGATGGATGGTCCGAACCCAGCCAGGAGCCAAGTGAAGAGCCTCCAATTCGAACCACAAGACCGCATACGCCCAGTGCTCAGCAGAGGCCAACACTCGACCCCGCTACAGCTGAACTCTATGAGCCTGCACCGACCGAGACGTTTCAACAACAGAGACTCCGGTTCAACCGCCAAGAGACTCTGAGCTTTGCCCCCTTCAGACATCGCAGGACACATGGAGCAAATCCATACCCGGAGTCAATGCCTACGGCAGATCAACCTGCTTCACCACAGCAACCACCAGAGCAGCTAGCAGGTCAAGGCTTCTACCTCGAGAACCTCGACACTGCATCATTGCCGCATGGGTGGCACATGGATGAACAGGGATACCTCCAGCTGGATGATCGTGTCACAGACTACTGGGAATTGAAGGCTGGCTGCCTGATTCGCCATCACCTGATCCCTCGCCGTGGACGGATGCACATTGACCAGCTCCCCAAAGACTGTCCAGTCTCAGTGGAACAGCTTGACAAGTTGAAGATCACCCTCGTGCATCAACATGATGGCCGGAGCCGTCTTCATACCGATGATGGCACTGTGACCACTCCACCTGAAGGCACCACTGGCACCTGGACAGGCACCACCGTCTTTCAGCTCACAGGTGAGACTCGCAAAGAGATGGCCATGTACACCGGCACCCACTTGGTCCGCAACAGTGCACGACAGGTTGCAAAGGAACAGAAGAAAGTGCACACCAAGAAAGTGAAGAAGGACAAGGGTGGGGTGAATGAAAGGCTACTAGGCCCTCATGAGCGTGCTCTCTTCAAAGAAGCAAAGGTCAAGGAACTTCGATCCTTCTTTGACCACGGAGTCTGGGCCTTCCAAACGACTGCAGATGCTGACGAAGCACGAACTCTGACCTCGAGGATCCTGCTCAAATGGTCGAAGAATGAAGATGGCAGTCCCCGTGCCAAAGCCCGGCTCATCGTTCGAGGGTTCAATGACCCAGATGCTCTTTCTGGCGCCATCACCACCTCATCGCCAACAACGACAAGACTGTCGAGATCGATGGTGTTGTCACTTGCAGCCAATATGCATTGGCCAACTTGGACCGCTGATGTGAGCACAGCTTTCTTGCAGGGTCGCCCACAGACTCGCAAGCTATGGGTCAAACTTCCTGCAGAAGCACTACAATTGCTGGGCGCCTCTGAAGACACAAGGATGCTCTTGTTGAAGCCGTGCTACGGTCAGACAGACGCTCCCAGAGGCTGGTATCTGGAAGCTGTGGACCGCTTGCTGCGAGCAGGCCTTCGTCAGCACCCACTGGATCCGTGCGCTTTCCTGATCTATGAGAGGGATGATCCCGACTACGATGAGCACAATCCCATTCACCAGGAAACCGCCACGTTGGGAACTGAGAAGCTTTGCGGCATGGTGATTATGCATGTCGACGACATGCTGGGCGCTGGCTGTCCTCGATCCCCTCGATACAAAGCAGTCACCGATATGCTTCGAGCCAACTTCTCATTCCGAGAATGGAAAGAAGACCTGCCAAAGCTCGAGTACTGCGGATGCGAACTTGAAAAGACCGAAGAAGGTGGTCGCCGCCTCCATCAGGAGAGCTACTATGCCAAGGTGAAGCCCATCACACTTCACAAAGGACGCGATCCTCATGACCAGCTGTCAGAGAAAGAGGTCACTCAAGTTCGTGGTGTGCTTGGCTCTTTGCAATGGCCTGCAGTACAAACAGCACCACATCTCCAGTGCTCGACGTCAATGCTGTCAGGACAAATCACCAAGGCCACTGTGAACACAGTCCTGGAGTGCAACAAGCTGCTGAGGTTCGCCAAAGAACATAACGATGTCAGCCTCCACTACAACCCGATCGGACACCCGTCCGAATTACAGCTGCTGTGTTTCTTCGATGCTGGCTTCACGGCACGATCCGACGGCAGTTCACAGGGCGGCTACATCCTGATGTTTGTCAACCGCCAGTTGCTTACCTCCGGAGAAGATGGTGAGTATCATGTCTTGGACTGGCGCAGCTTTCGCACTCCTCGGGTCACCCGGAGCTCACTGGCAGCTGAGGCCCAAGCAGGTGGTCAAGCGGTCGATAGCGTTGACTTCACCTGCAGGTACTGGCACTACATCATGAACCCCGACCTCAAGCTCAAAGATCTGCTGAAGGCGTCTTCAACCCTGACGCCAATCATGATCACTGACGCCAAAGCTTTGTATGACTCCTATCACAGGGAGGGAGTCAGCTCGTCAGTGGTGGACAAGAGAGTGAGCCTCGAAATCCGAGTCATGAAGGAGATGCTGGAGGAGCTCAATGGTCAGCTTCGATGGATGAGTTCAGAAAGACAAATAGCTGACGGACTCACCAAGGAGTCGGCTCGTGTCTTGTTAGCTGCTCGCCTACGGCATCGACGTGTGAAGTTGACTTGGGATCCAAACTATGTGGCTTCTAAGAAGAAGACGAAGAATGAAAAGGCAAAAGCCATAGCAGAGACAACGTTCGACTTCCAGACGGAACACTATGAGCCTGAGGAAAATCAGGACCCTGTCGAGGAGCACACTCCACCGAATGCCGATGTCTCTGAATACCCCGAGATCCTTGAAGATGATGGCATGCCAACGAATGAAGAGGTTCCTGCCACCGCCTACTTCTCAAAGACCATGGAAGCTGTGACCTATGTGTACGCCATGAGCCATGGCGGCTGCCCCATGAAGAATGTCAAGAAAAGTCGCAAGCCGAATGCTATGTGGCTGATGCTGCTGCTTTCCATGCTGGTGCTGGCTAAGGGTCAGCAATGTGAGAAGGGTGAGGAGCCAGAGAATCAAGAGGAAGGTCATTTGCTGATGTGGTTGGCCATCCTGGCTCTAATGCACGTGACCATCATGGCAGGCGTCTTCTTTGCTGGACGCTGGAGCTGCCACAAGGACACCAAGGATAAGCCCCTGATGAAAGAAGTACAAGTTCAGAAGGACGAACCAATCGTCCATGCCCGACTTCGAGACCTCCTCCAACAAGAAAAGACAAGATCTGAAGAAGCACTCCGAGCGGCCAGGGAATCCCGATCTGCCTTCAACCTGCAGATCGATGAGGTTCAAGATTTGCGAAATGAGGTGCTAAGCCTTCGCAACATGGTCGTCCAAGGGCACAGCTTGATCAGCCGGTCAATCTGGGAGATGGATCACCACACCTCCATGTGCCCCTTTGCGAGGCCCATCGTCACCAACCGGACTGCAACTTGCTGGCATCACGAGACCTGCCACATGGTTGAGCAGATGAATGAGCCCCTGCTGATCCGGAGGGCCTGCGCCTACTGCGCCATGCACCGTCCTCCACCCGACCGGACGGATGCCCAGGCGAGGACGATCCGAACCGACTTGAATGCCTGGCTGACGAACGCTGCTTTGTGGCTGCCAACTGAGGCCTAAAAGGCTAAAGAACAGCCCTGTGTAAGTTGCACGCTGTGCAACATGCTGTGCAGTGTGTTTTTTCACTTTTCATGAGTCACGACATGTCGTCGCGACCGTCTTTCGATCACGACTTGATCACCCACTCCACCGACAGAGGGTGGGCTCGAACCGCCAAAAGAGGCACGGGTGCGCGCTTCGTTTTGCGCTTGCGTCGCGACTCGTCGCTTCGCCTTGTTTCCCCTTGGTTGTGGACCTCGTGCGCTACAACGACAATTCGACACCTACACAAGAACTGCTCACCACCACATTGCTACGAATCAACCGGGCCATTCATGGTGCTTCTAAGCATCAACTGAGTGAGTTGTTTCATGGGTGATTCTTGTCATTACGACCCTCGGATGAGGGAACCGGACCAATTACGAGCTCCTATCCGGTGCTCTTCCGATGCTTGGCACGAGGTGCCGGGGGAGATGGCTATAATTAAGGGATCTAGAATCCATCTTCCTTGAGATTCGACCCTGTATGTCATCATGTATCATCGATATGGATTGAATATGGAACCTCATTTCGAATCATTTTCAGAAGGCTCTTGACGAAGGCTCTGTCGATGATCAAGAATGGTGCCGATGACTGATCTAGGCTCTACATGGCTCTACCGGTTCGCAGGACTGCGGCGGGGGCACGCCGCTGCGGCGGCCTCGAGGAAGCTGGATTTGGGCAAGACATAGGCGGAATAGCAATGAGGCGCCTTGCATCGACACCGGATCCGGCACTTTCACGCAGCTGTGTTGCTTCTTTCGGGTCGCCCACATCGGGGGAGACCCCGTGGACAGCATTGTCCAAGTATACATCCGGGGAGTTGTCGGGGTCTGCTGTTGAACACTTCGAGAACACATTGAACACTTCGTCCACATTATGGCCCGAGATGGTGTTTTTCCTGCGGACTCGACCGTCTTCTTCGGGGGATATCTGCCGTCCTCGCTCCTTTTTCATCCTGCACTGCGGAAACCATATGTTCTATGTTCTATATATGAGAGGTTGGGAATTCAGGGATCTCTTGGTCTTTGAGGTCGGGAATTGATCTCTCCTTTCGGTCCGAGAAGTCCCACGTTGCACGACCAAAGAGAACAACAGCAAAAGCATTGGTTTTGGTCCAAAGTGTGGATGAAAAAAAACAATTAGAAAAGCAAAGACGACCTGTATAATGTTCTTTTTATTTTTTAAATCTCTTTGTCTAGTGACTCTTAGTTCTTATTTCGAGGTGCTTGACCTTTTCAACAGTACCAAAGATTGGTCTTCTTCGTTCTGTCAGACGACCAACTTGGACATCAACGATTGCTTCGCCGCACGTCGACGATCCAATGGAGGTCGGTCGTGGTCAGTGCCTTGAAGAGGAGTAACAAGGTCACCAAGGAGACAAACAGCACTGCCTCGCGCTGTTTGCCCGGGCTTCGGCCATGGAACAACTAGCAAACACATCATATATAGTGCTTGATGTTTTTGTGATCGGTGATGATTGGTGCTGCGGCACAGGTCACAGGCAAGCTTCACGCATCTTGGCTGCAATCACTGAATCTAAAGGAAGGAAGCAAAAGCAAGGAGTTGCTCCTCATGCTGGCTACGCTCCCTCACAAGATTACTAACCTTGACTAGTAAAACAGGGAAAACCAAAAGAAAGTCATGCAAAATCGAAAGCAGTTGGCCTGCTTATTGATTATGTCCCATCCCTGGTAGCTGCAGGTAACCTCGCAAAACACGAGGAACTCGTGTGGCTCAAATGACGATTATTCATCCTGACTATGACATACTATGACTATGTTGACTTGTGAACATCTATGAGTCTATGATAATGTACACATGATCCAAGACACATGGATGGCATGGATCGTTTCGAAGCACACCCCACTTGCTTGACATCATTCAGCTTGAGATTCATGCCCACCTACTGACCCACATGTTCTGTTTCGACAGTGTTTCTGGCGAGCCAGATCATTATAGCATGCAATCATAGCCGTAGCAAACCAACTTGGGCTCCGGCCGAAAGCCACGCAATGCCTTTCAAGGATCATCTTTCTCACTTGTCTGGACTGTCCAAAACAAAAGTTGTGGGTATGGGTGCAAACCCAAATACGGGCCCTGGATTTTGCGCAAAGGATACGTTCAAGGACGGAAATTGGCTACATCTGGCCACAGTCGAACAAACACAATCTCGTCTGAGGATCAAAGAGGAAAAATGTCGCTTCAAAGCCTGAGGGACATTACCCTCCTCACAAAACTGGATCCCTTTGAAGACTTCGTCGACAGAGGGATACACGTGCCGTGTAAGCTTTCATGAACCATCAACCATCGATTCGTAAGCCACTGGGGTGAAGAACAATTGATCATATAATGTAGACTCTTGATGATATTTCAACACCCCCCCACGTGAAGAGGCTTTACAATGTCTGGGAGGGTGCTAAAAACAACTCAAGAGTTTAGATATGTTAAAACATGTTAAAACAAGAGTTTACATATGTTTACATCAAAAATCGTTTCACCATGTTTCACCCGATAGTTTCACCATGTTTCACCATACACAACAGCTCCCAACAGCTCCATCCCTTCCCTGCGGGGTGTTCGCACCTGCGCGGAAGCTTTCCAGCATTCCGATGCGCTTGGCTGCGATCTGGAAGCCACCTGAGAAGTCCTGCCGGTGAAGCAAAACCCCTTCTCTCCAGCAACACAGACCCACAACCTCCAACATCAAAGGCCTGAAGGAATCTGGGTGCTAAAATGAAGGTATCCCAAGTGAATGAAGAATATGTTCAGGAGGCATGCGGTGATGTGCAAATGTGAGTGTCTCACACAATGGGATCATGGTAGGTGTGGACCCAGCAAATACCCTGGGGAATTGCAATCGTGGCATGTCTTAACAACCGCTTGACTCGGCGCTTGATTTCACTCGTACGATTCCAACATCCATTAGGACCTATAGGATCTTCCCGTAGGGCTCCTGTCCCACATCATCAGGTGCTTACCCTTGTGGGTTTGGCGGGTCGAACTGCCGAGGTGGGGATGTGGGACAGAAGCCTTAGGATCTTCAAACATGCATACGAAGAATCCAACTGCCTATTAGACATGTTCGCTCCCTTCGACTGAAAGAGCCTTAGGATCTTCAAGCTTGAAGAGGCGAACGAAGAGGCGAACGAAGAGTCGCACCCGTCATCCGGCAGAAGCTTGATACACGGAGAAGAAACTCATGAGTCGAACGAGTGTTTTACAGTGCATATCTGCATGTCATCATAGACGTCGATTGGAGGAGGCACACGAGTGCGGAACATGGCCCACGTTTTTTTGTCTTCAACTCAAATCGAACAACCAGCAATCACACCAACATTGCAATGGATCAGCACAGTTTTCTATCACACGGTCGCAGTCCTCGTTAAAGTTCCAAATGATGAACAGCAAGCGGGATGCGCTTTGGATGCCGCAAATGAACAGGTATGCCATGATCTCAGTCCATTCTATCTCCCCAAAGAGTATTCATGCAAGATGTGATGCTTGAGATTCAGCTCAATTCACCAGAGCAAGAAATTGGAAGCTTACCTACATTCAGCAGGACTCTTGCTCCACACATTTGAACTAGTTCAACAATTATAACTAATTACATAAGTTAAATGACGGCACCTACAGGTCCAGAAGTTCTGAGTGCCCCTACAGGTCCATCTGAAGTGAAGAGGCTCTCTTGCCTGAGTGCAGCCGCAGCCAAGCGAGTCAAGTTTTGAAAGCTCCAACCTCCTCGACTCCTCAAGAATGGGCACTTAACACATCAGCATCATGTGCGGTGGAAAGATATGATCCCAGGATAAAAAAAATAAGCCGGATCCTGTACGTGCAATGGCTGAATACAACCCGCATGCCCTTTGGCTTGTCCAGCTACACGGGTGTTTGATGGTGTTTAATACTTGTTTCCAGCAGCAAGAATGAAACTGGACAGAAGTCCAGAATGCAAAATGACTGTAAATGATTGTACATGCAATTAAAGTCACTGTATGTGGAGAACGAATGCGAATTACATCGAATTACCTTATTTCAAGCGCCTAATTTGAAACACATTCTGGCAACGGCGCTGTGAAAGATCCAGCTTCACAACCAATTCCGATGGCCGAATTGTAATGACCTCCAACCTAGAAGCAATAGCCTCCAACCTAATTGTACTGTGTTTTTTGACCCTGAAATCGGGCACTGCGGTCGAAAACGCTGTATACCTGCCATCCTACGCCTACGTCGACGTTGACCCCCCCGAAAAAAAAATATGTTGGCACACCCTTCACTGCTACTTACTACGTCACGCCTGCGTTTCCCGGTCATCGGTGCTCGGGTGATGAAACATCCCAGACACTCCATGGCACTGGCATATATGCCTACATGGACCCCCCAAAACCACCCCAGCTGATCGGCATATATGGCAGTCCCATGGAGTGTCTGGGCATACAAACACACGGACACACGACACACACTCCAAACTGATGCTACACCTGCAAAATCCTGCAAATGAGGGGGATTTGAATGGATCTGAGGCTTGACCCACGTTCACAATCATGAATCCATATGAATCCTCAATTTGTTCACAAACACTTTCTCCAACGGGATGCATGGAGGGCAGAAGACCCAAGAAGAGCATCGACATCACCTGCGCCATGCCGAAAAACGCGGCACATGGTCTTCTTATACTTATAGTCCAGTCGTGGGGTGAAATCGATTGATTTTTAGATCTTAGAAGAAAAAAACCAACTGCGATGTTTCAACCAGATCTTAATGGATTACTCACTTGCACCAGACTGGGATCTGGTGGCTCGTCCCCCGGAGGGTGACCTTCAAGAGCCACCAAAAGTCAGTCGGGCCGGTCGTGTCGGGTCTTCCCAACAGTTTCATGCCGTGTCTTCGTCCAGGACGTCCAGGACATCCAGGACATGGCTGACCCATCCTTTTTCGGTGAAAACGACATGGACACGGGAGAAAACCATGGGTCAATTCCCATTTAAAATTCAGGGTCGAACACGAAGCACCGGTGGATGTGACTGGATTGACCCCGAAACCCGAAAACGAAGCACACCGGTGGTTTTTGCGAGTTTTCAGGCTGCTGAAGACCACTTTTCTGTCTTTACAATGATGGGAGACTGATAAATAACTTTAACACAAATATAATACACATCCTCCAAAAAGGCATTGGACGCTTTGCAACTCAACAGTCCATAGTGCCGACTTTTCTCTTCTTCGCCATGTCTACGCATGTCTATGACTTGCAGGGCGTGACCTCAACGGTTGAACTTCGGTCCGCGCGTTGCGCACTGCAGGTGAAAATTGGGTGCCGCTGAGTCCACGTGGCAACTCAAGGCGAGTTAGACGCAAGTCGAAAACCATCGAAAACGGAAAGCATGTCCAGCTGGAAGCTTCAGGCTCCAAAGAGCCCCTGAATTTCTAGTTTTGTAGATCAAGGCGGGGCTTGATGTGGGAAAACAGAATGCCAATGTTCGGCTGTTTGTCTCATTGACTCATTAGTTGTTTCCAATGTCCAGCTTGCAAAGCCCGAACCATCTTCCAAGTTCTGAAGTCTGCTGCCAGCGGACACCTGTTCCAGGCTGTTCCAGGAAAAAACATCGATGCCTGTCCCTGACCACAAAGTCGGACGTTTTGATATGGGTGAGTCAGTTGCCATGTTCCCAAATCCAAAGTCATTCACCTCTTTTGATTGCGCCCGACTCTTACAGCCTCTGAAATCCGTGGTGTTCTTTGTTGCAGACGAAATGGGTGATCCTGCATCCAAAGGGCTTGATCCCAAGCTATCACTTGAGGCCTGTGCTGTCAGGCGTTCTTCTTGTCAATCTGTTCCCACAATTGCTGACCTACTGTTACAAAGAAATGAAACGATTGTACTGTAGTCGAACAATTAAAAGGGTTTGAAAGGCTCGCAACGAAAGAGGAAAAACACTAAACGGATTGCCATCGTTGGGATTGATTCCCCTCAGCAAGCTTTTTGGTTTGAAGAACTCAGTATCCGTTGTTTGCCATGATCATGATATGCTGATATGCTGAATTATGGTTTGGTTGGTTTTGGTCCGACGGTCTCAAGGATTCAAAGACCGATCCTGTACTGCACCTGGGGATGGATCTTGCTCTCCATCACCATTTTCGCATGAATGGCCACCAGCCATGAAAGCCCGACATCGGAACGTACCACGGTCAAATGTCTTCGAGGCAAGCGCGGTGATTGGGAGAGGCTCTTCATGCAATGATCAAAACAACACAAAATGTGCCATTCTGCAAGGATAGTTGTTCCCCCCTTACTGCATGACCACGATCAAGCACGGGCTCTGCAAAGGGTTTCCCAGTATAGAACACTGCACGATGGACTGGGAGCAAGTGAGCCCAAGTGCACAGGCTTCTGATGACAACCTTGATGCAATGAAGAGCTCTCAAACATGCATGCCAGGAAAACGGTGCATTAGTATTAATTGGTAGTAGTGTGTCGGTTGCTGGTTGCCAAAGCAAAAACAATTCGCTTCTCTTTCTTGCTAGAGTCAAAATTGGAGGAAACTCCCCCATTGGAATCGGCTTCTCCTGGGCCGATAATTTCATAGGTCGGCACACCTCCAACGGATGGAACATGGGAACACAATGCGATATGAGGTCCCAGTGTTACATTTCATGCCTTGACGTGCACCTCATGTTTGCTTGCAACATCCTCTGGAACCAAGTCTCGAACAGTATCTTTAGGAGCCAACCAGGTAGCCTGACATTTAAAGTTAAAGTATCTGCAGACCTGTGGGGACCAATTGGATCAAACAAGCAATCCTTGTCTGCGGGATCGTTTTGCACCCACCACCCCACAAGCACCTCAGAAACGATCCCAAGAAGGCGCCAATGAAGGCGCCTTATAGTCCACATTCATGCAAAATCATGATTGGGATGAAACATGATCAAGGTCTGAGGATGATGTTAATCATCAAGCGTGAACAAACCCTGATCCCAACGACTGTGGCATGGAAAAACACAGCAACACGTTTTCTATCGTTTTCTCCGGGATCTCCGGGATATCCTCATACCAGTTCTCTTCCTTTGATCCAATCTCTTGAGGTGAAAAGGATCGATCCCAAATCCTCTTCGATCCACCGAAGGCTCGGTGCGCCCCCCCAGAAATCATCGACACCGTCAACACCAACCGTCGACCGACAGAACGAGAAAAACCCGGGGTTCCCGCGCGGAAAACTGCTAAGGTAGTCGGAATGCTGTGGTGCATGTTTAGGTACTGACAAGGAGGACCAGAAGTTTGGATGGTCCAGGAAAAAAGCCCCCAAGATGTCTCCCCCAAAGATGGCTCTCCCAAGATAGATGGCTCCCCAAAAATGGTCAAGAGAGAGAGGGCGCTCGGATGGAGTTCGGGAGGTTGTTGGCAAAGCTCTTTTCAGGTTCATCAGGTTCATCCATGAAGGGTCGACCTTGAATTTAAGATGCACTTTGCACTTTGCACAAAAATGTACAAGAAAGCCAAATCCATCCGTGCACCGGATGATCTAAGCTGTGGAATCAAGCCAAGCACTCATCTTCATGGAGCTTCACATATTTCAGCTGGTCAATAGACAGTGCTCCATACCTTTTGAAGGCGGACAAGGGGATGATGTACTTCTGCATTTCGACCAGCGGGCTTCCTCAAGCATAGCACATGTGAGTCTGAGCATGTTGGTTAGTTCGTTTAGTCCCCAACCTGTTGATTATTTTTGCTTGTATGGCACGTTATTGGTTGCAAACAAAAAAACACGATATCCACTTGCTGTCAGTGCAAGTCGGTCCCCAATATCTTATGAGTCGAGCCTAAAGGTGTGAATGGTTGCTCCCATGGAAGAAGTCCATTTCACTCCATTCTGAAGAACATGGTCAGAATTGCTTCACCCATTGATGTTGCAGAAATCGCATCCCAAATCTGGCCCCGAACAAGCGAAGAAGAACATCATCTAAACGACCATACCTGCCATAGTGTCTCGAACATCCCTCTCTGCAAGCCTTGAAATTGTTGGTGGCTCCTGGAGGAGCCTGCGTCTAACTAACACACTGCAAACAAACCTTGCGATCCACCCAACAAGCATGAAAGTAGGACACACCCCCGATTTTGAGGTGCGATATATATATATATATGGATCGCAAGTGCGATTATGTGTCGTGGGGTCATTATCCATCATTTCTGAAAGTCATGGATATCACATGTGCATCTTCGATCTATCTGAATCTAGCCAGAGGCTACCGAGCTACCTGTGTATATATTATATATATATATATCACTTGACCAAATAGGTGAAGAATTGTTTGAGAAGACAATCTCTTCTGATTTCACATCAAACCACAGAGAAGATCGAGCGCCGGCCTATCGCTCAATGTTGCAATAATCTTGTTGCAAACACAGCGATGTCAACAACCCATCTGTCGTTGATGTTGATCCATGAACACCAGCTCTT